CCTAGTTTTTGGATTTTGATAAATGTTTCTTTTAAAGTAAAGACTAATGGCACCTTAACCCCGTAAAGATTTTAAAAGTTGCAGTTTCCCTAAAAAATAAAGTGTCTAACATTAGTCTTCTAATTTCGTATAATTTTGGCAGTGTACCCCAACAATTGTACGGTGTTGGAATTGTTGTCAGTAAAGATTCGATAATGGCACCTTATACCCTGAAAAGTATATGCTCGCACTGTTGACCCGTGGAACGTTAGTTGTCTCGCATCACGTGCTTGGCACTTGGAATGTCTAACAGAGAAAAAGGGACCTAGCCTACTAGTTGGGGACACTTTGGGGCACAACGATGCTGGTTTGTAGATAAAACACCTCCTTTTTACCTGTAAAACGGTATCGTTTGGGAAACAGCACACCTTACTTAAGAAACCGATGCATTGCTGTCATTTGAGAAAATATAGTGCGAGATTTTTGATCTTTAAGAGATAAAAGTGAAAAGATAGTAGGCGTCTTATGTTAAAACTAGAATTCACCTTGTCTACTTATTTACTTACTTATCATTTAGTAATTATACGATGTATGTTTTAACCAAGAATTGACCGTATTTTGATGTTATCAGGATTAATCTATATCATCCACACAGATCTTGAGGCTTGAGACCTCAAGATTCAATCTTGATTTACTGTGTTAGACTAAATTCCACCCTCTCAAATTTAGCTAAAATTGTGGCCAAATTAAAGAGGTGACGACTGCTCCGAGGTAGTTAAGCTTTCTATCATATTGCATAGTTTTTCTTGTATTCACTAATCACTCCTGTCAAAGACCTATAATACAACATATAAATTTGACACAGCCCCCCTACTCCAAAAGCAATTATTTTACCTTTGTTTTAGATCCCAATTTGCACAATCGTCTTTCTCTAACATTTTTTTCAAGTCAGCAAATTCAGAGCAGTTTCCAATACGCATGATCACCAATAATCGATCACAACTAGAGAAAATTATACATTAAAAGACGTTACAAGAAACATTAATGGCCAGTGACAAGAATAATGCTATACAAAACAGGTCTTACACAAGCTCAAAATAGATAGAACACAGACAAAATCGAGGGAAATTCCCCCCTTTTCCCCTCCCTGTGAAGAGTAAAACAATAGACACAAATTCCAGTAAATGAACAGTAAGGATTTGTCAATTGCTCAAGAGTGATGGGCATTCAACAGTGCTTGATAAACCATGTCAATGAATTGATCGTCCTACACAAAGAACGGCTTATCAGATGATTAAGCATATAAAGTAAAATGGAAGACAAATAAGAAAAAAGAAGCGAGGCACCCAACCTTAACCATTGGCTTAACTCAGAAAAATGTAATAACTTGGCCAGTATCTGAGCATACCCAAATACTAATATCCTAGTTCATCAAGTAAAGTTTTCCACTATTCTCATAGGTGTAGTCAAAGTTTCCAAATCTCTTAATAGCCTTCTATTAAGAATCTACATCACCTGTTTCCAATTCTATTTCCGACAAGGATCAAAGTATCAGCTGAGTCCGATACATATCCGTCTCAGCCATGGTTCAAAGTCGCGGTATCGGTCATCGATTCAGAGGGCACTGAGACACATCGGTCGCGGTGTCGCAGTGTCGTATCGGCCGATACGCTCAAAACGCTACATAGAAGACCCAAAAAAATATAAAAAAATCATGAAAATTTTTAAAAATATGTAAATATCATCATTCATGCATTATATCCCAAAAATACATTATTTAACATATTAAACATAATAAAAATGAATTATAAGGACACTACCAAAAATATTTGCCATCGTTTAGGTTGAATGTTTTTATTTAAAAACACACTAAACTTTAAATATATGTTATTATAATTTTTTTAACTGACTAGTATCTAATTTTTAAAAAAAAATAAAATAAAATAAAAATAGCAAATATGTATCCATTAATTATACATTTGACAAGTATGAATAGATCTCAATATTTTACAAGAATAATTTTGTGTTCAATTAATAAATTAATGAGTCATTGTTCTAATTTAATTTTATTTTTTCTCCTAATTATTTTTTCCAATAATTTACTAATTGAATTAGAGATTTTTGATACATAAGGGTAAGGGTCAATAAAATATAAACACATGTCTAAGGACAAAAAGCAAACGAAGGGTGAGTGGCCCATAAAATATAAACACTGTGTGTGGTCTGTGTTTTCTTCTCCTTGCCTCTCGATCATGAGAGAGAGAGAGAGAGAGAGAGAGAGAGAGAGAGAGAGAGAGAGACAGCTAGAGAGCGTTAGCGAGAAGCGAAGGAAAGTTTCTGCTATGGGTCTCCACCGAAAGAAGCGAACAGTAAGGAACGATTGAAGATTTTTTGATCTGTAAACTTAGGGTTTTTGCTATGGGTCTCCATCGAAAGAAGAAGAAGAAGAAGAGGCCTTCTGATCACGGTGATTCTTCAATTTTCTAAGTCTTTTTATACTTCATCTCTTCCTTTTTTTTTTTTTTTGGAATTTCCTCAGTATTTGTGGTCTATTATATGCGAATCAGCCAAGTTGTGCTGAGTTGGAGTCGGCTCACTGTGAGTCTCACCTAATTTCTTCTTCCTTGCTCTGTTTTTTTTTTTTTGGGGTTTTGCTGCCCAGATTTTCCAAATGCACCATAGCGGTCTGACTTGGTTCGACTCGACCGAGTCTAACCGATTTAGTTCCGAATTGGGCTGATACCACCGAGTTGTAACCGAGTCAGTATCGATTCAGTTGAATCTCGTTATATTAATGTACCGTGTATCGTTATCGGATCGACAACTGCCGAGACGGATACGACTCGGCCGAGTTGACTAGGATTCGGCCGATACTTTGAATCATGGTCTCAGCCACATCAAATCCGATAATGATAACATGATATCCAAATATGAAGAGACTGAGCTGAATCGATATTGACTTGGTTACAACTTGGACATATCGGACCAACTCGACTAAGTCAACACAAAATCAAGTTGACCTCTGCAAATTTCCAGACAGCCATCACTGGCTAAAAAAAAGAATGTACGAGAAGAAAAGAAGAGGCCCAAGAAAATAAGAAATTATGTAACCCTACATCACACCCATTTTTCCAATCTTTCGAAGGGAAGAAGCAATTGAAAAGATTTTAAGAAAACCTGGAAGCTGAGAAGTGTGGAGTCCCTTTCCTCCTCCTCCTTCCTCTTCTTCTCTTTGACGAAGCAATTGCATAGCACAACAAACAACTTTTTGCTTCGATTGCAATTATCTCAGGTTCTCCATCTCGTCTCTCGTCGGCTCTTTGGCAGACTCTTGTCTTCTCTCTCCATCTCTCTCGTTTTCTCTATTGCTTTCTCTCTCTGTCTCTCGTTTTCTCTCTATCCTAGACTCTTTATAATCTCTCTCTATTCTACTCTTAAAAGGAGTATTCTAGAATCTTATAATAAATACCACATTTATTACTATAGTATTTTTCTATTATAATGATTCATATTCTGCTTATATTTTTTAAAATTTTGAAATTTTAAATTTAGATATTGAAATTCCATTACATTTAGTTTAAATTTTTAATTCATATACAATATTATTTTTTGTTATTTTGAATTCAAAAAACCTTTAAAATTAGATCCTAAAATGTTTAAAATAATTATAGCAACACATTTATTGCTTAATGATTTTCAGTAACACACTTATCTTTCTTTTTAACCATATTTAATGTGTTAGAGGATGTATTTTGAACATAAGATGCATGAATGTTGTTATTTTTATTTTTTAGAATTTTTAAGATTTTTTTCTAGGATTTTTTGGACCTTTTATATAGCATTTTATGTGTCTCGACGCCATGGCCGATGTCTATCAATACCCTCCGAGTCGACGACTGATACCGCGACGTTGAACCATGATTTTCGAAGAATATGATGCATGCTTTAATCAAATTTCTCTTTTGGCAACCATGATTTTTGTCTACAACAATCAATGCCTAGTATAAGAGACACTTACGGCTTGTTTGGTTGCCACATTAAAAATAGATAAATTATATAAAATAATCCTGTATAATACAATATAAATGAACAAAAGACAAGATTAAATAAGGTATTAGAATAATATGTAATTTTATCTAGTGTTTAGCAATACACAACATAAACGTTGGATAGTAGTTTTTTAATCCAATCGGATGTTTGGTTGAGAATTATTTCACCGTATTAATGTTGAATTAACATAAATACCTTTAATCAGTGTTTGTTACATTGATGACAGTTTAATTTTATTAGTTGGGAGGTCATAATAGTAAATGTGTAGAATAATACATTTGAGTTGTACTATAATACCACTTCTCTTGGTAGTATTAACAGACCTCCATAATACAGGTCTTGCACAAAAAATATACAATAAATATACAATAAATGTATGTTTTTTTAAGTTAATACAGTATCAAATTTACTTGCCAAACAAAGTATTAGACCCGATTAAATAAAAAATAATACAATCTAATATTTAATCCTCACGTAATACGTCTACCAAACGAGCCCTTAGAGTAAACCTTGTATTGAATTCAAATGTCATGCTCTTTTTTTTTGTCGATTGTTTTGGTGAAACTATAATAATTGAACAAACCGTACTTCATCGTCTAGACTAGATGTTCTTTTAAGACTTATGAAAAACAGTACAAAGATAAGACACAAGATGGAACGGTAATGTGATATAATTATTTATATAAACTATATCTATATATATAATAAAACACCTAAGAGTTTGAAAGTTTATCCCTTAAAAATCACATCACACAATTCTATCACATGTTCAATCATTTAATATTTGATTAATTTGTAGTTGAACACAATTTTTATTTCATACATTTTCCATAAATGATAGTGTGCAGTGTACATATGTTGAGAAAATTTTGTCGAATTATGCATTTTGAAAAAATTTTGACGCTATTTTTTTAAAAATAATAGGTAAAAATTAATTTTAAATGATATAATCAAAGAAACAAAGAAATAAAAAATTACTATTTGGTATAGTGGGATCACGGGTTATATATTTATATATAAGCAACAAAAAAAGTTACAACTCCTTTGTTGTTACATAAAATAAATCGGTTTCTATTCATGTATCATGTCCAATATGTTCTAAGCAAATCCATATAAATGAGTCAATATTTAAAGCAAAAAAATAAAAAAAGAATAAAAAAAATGAAAATTATGTACGGATTTCGACCAAATTAAACACTTCTTCTACCCATTTATGTCTCTTTTCTTTTTTCTGAATTTCCAACCATTCAATAACTTTTTTTGGGGGATTTTCATGTGTTTCCCTTGTTATTCTCCCTCCCCCGTACACATGCCTTTTGATATGCGTCCGGGAATGCTGAGCACATAGCCACAGGTATACAAAACCTACTTTCCCTAAGTAGTACTCAACTGAACCATTTGTAGCCTAAAATGCATGTTTGATCTAATTGGATGGAGGAGGAGACGAGTGAGAGAGAGTACAACGAATTACTATTTAACTGGGAAGTATGATTACTCTGTATGTTCGAACATTTACCTCTATGTTTTAGTATCTAGCTTGGGAATGAGGAGCCATCATCACATCCAAATGATTATACTTGGAAGAATATGATTCATATTCTAATAATGAGAGTTAGTGGCTAAAACCCCACCCGAAAGAAGCACTCAATAGTTTTATGCATGAAAATATCTGCCGACATCTCCACAACAGTGCATAGGAATTAATTTCTAGCTGGTTAAAAAACAAAACCGTGACCTACACTTGGCAAACAAGTAGATGAACACGGATAAGCTAAGTGAATGAGTTAGTAGTAAATGGAGGTCAGAAGAGACATGCCTGAACCAGTATCAGAAGTGCATCACGGACTTTGTCTCTGCTAATTATAGGTACTTCGTTTGTAATAGGAACAGAAGCTGGAGTAAGAGAGAGTGGGGGAGTAGGCGGTGGAAAAGGTTGAAGCAGGGGAGCACCATATGGACGTTGTAGATTCCCAGGAGGATTAAGTGGAGGAGCAGTAGGCATAGATAAAGGGACAGGTGGAATCATCAGAGGAGAAGAGGACGGAGGAGGACCAAAAAATGATGATGGCTTCACCAGATTGGCAGCCCGGTTGCTGGTACTGTTGGGTTCAGGGTTATCAAGGAGAGGCATTAAAGGATTAGATGTTGATAGAGCAGGTAGTAGGGTTGCTACAGTGGGAGGAACGACACTAGATGGACAAGAAGGAGGATGATGATTCGTTGGAGAAGACTGGTAAGGCTGTCCAGAAATTGCTGGATTGGAAGCATTCCCAATATTTGTAGCAGTCTGCAAACAATGTTTCAAGATTCAGTCATGATAAGATACATGGATATCAGAAAAGCCAGAACATTAAGTATGCAATTGTAGAACAACCCAAGAAAGTAACGGAAAAAAAATCAGAGAGGAAGAGAGGTTATACTAAAGCTATAATCTCATTCGTGTTTCCCTAATTTGATTACAGAAACAAGTTTGGGAGTGATTCTGGAGATGTGTCTTATAACTATTCACACTAAGAGAGAAAATCGAATCAGAGAATATGATCCCTTGACAAGATAGAAAAATTTGTGAACCACAAAATGGTTGCATGTCGTAATTCAGAGAGATAATGCATCCCACAGATGGTTTTGAATAAACAGTCAAATCAGGAAAGAATGTGCTTACATTGAAGAAGTTCATAAAAGAAGGATCATCAGGAACATCTGTGACATTGGAGTTAGGTAATGATGATGGCTCTAGTGGGCCATCCATTACCGTCATAGATGGGACTGCTTCCAGTTCTTCAAACTCACTGCAGAAAACAATAAATTGAGCTCTTAGAAAATTGATACATAGAGAATATTTAATTTGTAGAATTAATAACTTTGAACATATAATAATCATAAGGAATATTTAATTATGTTAGGGATGACATTCAACTACATCTGTGCCCATAGTGAACACACAAAAAAACGACAATACCCAAAATGTTGCGAAGGAACAGTATCCTATCAACATGGGTATTATGATAGGAGCAGAAAAATGCCCAAGTAGCAATTTTATGATATAGCAAAAGAGAAGCACAAAGAAAGGCAAAAAAGTAGTCAACTTGCAGAAAAACTAAAAACAAAAACGCAAAAAAGGGGGATCTAGACAATAGCTAATATCCAAGCCTATAAAGCAGTATGAACAAGGTAATTCTTCATCATAAAATACAAAGCTCCTGACAACATTTTGACAATCACTTTTAGCATGGCTTTGTGCAGTGCATGTGATATATGAGAGCTTAAGAAATAACTTTCAAAGAACACTGGCTTTAAAAAAGTTAATTTGTTATTAGCAGTTAAACCTAAAAACAACGAAGGTCTATTATAAACATAAACTGAACCACCAATTGTAAATTTTTGGAAAGCTTGGCAACTGAAGGTCCAGGTTCCCAGATATCACACTGTACACGGGTAGTTGTAGTTCAGACTTTGACACACAGGCACCACATATACGATGGTTTGCCTTGATATGTCACAGAGAAACTCCTAGGAGGTCATGTTTTGTTAGGTCCAAGTGGCAGCTGCTAGCTGGTTTTGGTACAATGCTAGTCACATGGTCCCGTGGGTGTCTTTGGTTTCACAAGAGAGCAGGTAGCCTTGGTACTGCGAGTGTTCCATCTCTGCCACAGATACAAGTCAACACCTCATTGGTCAATACATATGACTCGGTCTATGAATGTCACTCAACATGCCCACATTAACTCCAAACAATTATGAGTTGGAGTTCTGAAGAAACCAAGTGAGTGTGGTGGCTCGATTAGTGAGGGATTTGTTTGTTATTGTGCATAGGTAGAGCCAAGTATATGAAGAAAAAAGAGGAAGTTTTAATTTCTCTTGAGATTCAGAGAAATTGGTTTAGAGGCTTTGTAAAGGGGAAACTATTCATTTCAAGTAGTGAACAATGAGTGGATGAGACTTGAGAGAATCAGGCATTTTTGTCAGGGTGCTCTCAAAGATACTTTTGGCATTCTTCAAGGCTTCAGTTTTGCCAGAAACATTGTTTCCAACTAGGATTCACAGGAAAGTGCAACTGACGGCTGTACCAATGATTGGTAAGTTTTTACAACCCCACTTTTCAATAGTTTTATCTGAATGTTTACTTAGGATTTAGCAAAATCAATTATGGAACTAAACTAGAGCTTTTGTAGAAGTATCAAAATATTGAGCAAAATATTAAAAAAACTATTACCTCTTCGTTGAAGACACCTTTGACTTTGTAGGCACTTTGGAGTATGCACTAAGTATCCTGATCATCAATAAAACATAAAACTGCAATTATTTGATTACTGAAAAAGTGAAAATAAAAAAAACTGCAAAGAAATTTACTTTTTCTCCTAGTTAGTTAGCTATTGTAAATACCAATTCGAGACATAAATTTGAAGAAACGACGGGCAATAATCACAAATACCCATTTTTATTAGAAGAGGCCACCTCTATCACCAAGAACTAAAGTCAATCAGCCAATCTCAATTAGGTCAATCAGAAGTTCAATATCAGTACAGAAGTTAAATAACATTGTCCATCAGGTTTATTGCAAATTCTTTTTCAACCAAATATATAGTTCAAGCACGGCATAAAATTTTATTTTGTTAGTGGACTTATAGCATGTAAACACATTATAAGAGTTTCTTCGATCACCAAAATACACTCTATACAAGCCACAACTATAAGAAAATAACACATACCTGCTAAAGAGATTTGCAACCTCTTCACATTCGCGTGCATTGTAAAACCATATACCATTTACTTCTTGGGCTGAATTTCGATATAACAGATATGGAATCTGGACTTCATACTCAAAATCTCCCAAGAGATTCTCCACCAAATTATCTGTTCATATCCAAACCACTCTTATTACAAAAAGTTAAGGGTTTCATCTTTTCAAAAAACAAGCTTATCTTAATGCAATATCAAATGATGCAAATTTATATCAAATGATCCACTTGACCTTCAAAACATTTATGGAGCTCATGAAGGTTTTCTGACCTAAGTGGATATTCATATTAATACTTTTCATCCATTAATGATTTGGTCACTCTCAGAAGCCATTGGCCTAAGAGAGAGACAAACTTAAAATCATTCATAGAAACTCCTCATACTCAACCTTCTCATAAAAAAATCGACAATTTCTTCGATCCAAATTCCAAACTACCCAAAAATATTGCCAAAATAGAACAATCCCAAACTATGGACACCTTTTTACTATTTCAAAAACCATCATAAATTTCCACAATAAGAAAACACAACCACGCAGGATAACATAATCCATACTCATCTGCTCAAGTAATTTATGCCGATATTAACAGTTAACATAATAGGACAATGAAAGAAAAGATGATCAATAGTCTCACTGCTACTTCAACACTTAACACACCATTGACGAGAAATACAAGCCTCTTTATTTGAATCAAATCACAGGTATTTATCCTTCTACGTACTACAATTTAGCAAAACCTGCACCTAAATGGGCAGTTTAATCTTTCAAATCATAAAAGATTGAAAAAAGTGGATCATCAATCAACCACTGGAAAAGAGATTTGCATGAAAATACATTGTGATATACTAGGATCAACAAATAGTTAAGAATCAAAGCAAGATTTACAAGAGAACTCCTCGGTAGAAAGAAAAACCAACACCTTCTATTAGGAACTAACTATCTTAGAATAAACCCTTCCAATAGAAATAAAAAAGGTTACAACTCATTACTTTTTCTATCATTTAAAAGTCTAAAAGAAATTGAACTTCCAACTAGCGGGGTAGGAAAAGGGAAGATATCATGGAAGCAATTGAAACATTATGAGAATGAGACAAAAAAAATGAGAAATCAAATAGACAATAAACAATCTACTCAATTCAACAAAACCTTGTCCCAATATGTTTAGGGTCGACTACATGAACCATGTTTCGTCATTGTGTTGCATTCAGTAGGTCTGTCAAAGGACCGTATTTTAGTCTGAATCTGTTTAACCGAATATGGACCAATATTTTCATTCGTTTATTCGAATCTGTTTAGATATCTTAAATCGGATATAGATATGGATATATACAAATCTGATCCAATAAAAATCTGATCCAGTTAACATATATATATATAGAGAGAGAGAGTATATAGTATACACATATGTATATTGATTATTTGTATTTGACCTAAAAAAAATTATTTGTTGAAATTTTGGTCGAATATCATTACAGATCGGATTGGATAATCGGACTGGATGTTCAATTATAAGCGAATCGGGTATGGATTAATATTTTTATATTCTTTGGGTAAACGGATCGGATTTGGTAACATTTTTAATTGGATTCGAGTGGACCCAGATCTGGTCCGAATCAGATCCGTTGACAGGCCTAATATTAAGAGTCATGTTTTCTATTAAATCGTAAGTTATCATATATTTGTTTACTGTTTCATTTAGAATTAGTTTTGGTCTTATTCTACTCCTATGTTTCCCGTCAATAGTTATCAAATCACTCTCTCACCGATACCGTAGTAAGCTATGTAAAAGGACGTCCAAACCACTTTTCTCTAAATAGGGTTGACCTCCAACACTTCCCATAAAGAGATCATGACACGAAAATCAGTGTTGATATTTCTCTAACAAAGAAGAGAAATACCAAACCTGTTATCTATCCACAAAGCCAAAGATGTGACAAGCGCCACAAACCTAAGAGAGCTCACAATGCTAAGACATGTAGTACGGTGTGACATCAACATTTTACTAACTAAGGAAAAGAAAAGCACGAATAACAGACTAAAGATGGGTCAAGAGTCGTAACATAATCTGGTGAATTGTATGTTCCTTTTTTGGGGCTAAACACGACTGCCTTAACATTTACTCATGATTCGTCATTGAAATGCAAGTAACATTGGTTTTGTACTAATCCAATCACCACACAAAGATGTAGTTACCACTGTATGAAGACAGGACAAAGCATGTTTTCCACAAGTCAGTGCATGTAGGGAAACAATACAAATACTGCTAAACCAATACCAAACAACATAGGCCAAAATATAGGGTAGTTACCCGTATTTCTCCTGTTCATTACAATAAATTGGAACCGAGGTTGAGCGCTCCTGAAATATCCACAAAAAATGCAATGTTCTAATCAAAACTACCAACAAGAAACCATATACAACATTAATTTCAACTTCAGCACCCAAAATCCAACAAATTCAGCCCAAAAACTATATTCAATACACAAAGTCTATACAAAACCACATAGCTGAAAATAGAAATACATTGGAGCAAAGAGACAGAGCTCAATTCAGCTAAAATACTATAAAGCTACAGTTTTTCCTGGCTTATCACAAAATCATGGATTATGGATAACAACAAGATTGAACTCCATACATCAAGGTTAGGCAACCAAGTGATCTCAAGGAGCCTAGAAGGCTAATTCCAACTAAAATACCATAAGGCTGCAGTCGAGAGCAAGGATTTTAGCCATAAGAATTTGAATTGGAGTTTGGAGACAGTATTAGTTCAACTTTGCAGTAGTTCTCCTCCCATTACAATTCCACCTAAAACTAACATGTCCAAGGACTATAACTTCGCATATCAAAGCATAATTGATATTAAAGCTCCTCACGTAACAGCATAAATCAAAATTCCAACTAAGAATTGCATAAACACACACCAAACCCAACACTATACACATAAAAAACCTAACAAATCAATCTAGAAAGCCCATATTCTTGACAAACCCAAGTATTACCTCTTAACAACAAACAGAGATCCTTCCACATCCTTTCGACTCTGCCAATAAATTAATCGCAAACAAAATAAGACAAACACAGAGATAATTAATAAACACACAAGCTGTATATGTACTTACCCACTGGCTTAGATCGATGTTGAATTCGTAGAAGGTGACATGAGCGGCGGTGATGAGAATTTCTTCGACATAGGGATCGATCCGCTGAAGAACGGTCAGATTAAGGAGCTGCGTGTTCTGTCGGTCCAGATTCGGCATTACTTTAACGTTCTGAGACATTTCTCTCTCTCTCTCTCTCTCTATATATATATATATATATGTGTGTGTGTGTGTGTGCGCGCGCGCGCGTGAATATTCGTATGTCCGGTGAGAGAGAATTGAAACCCTAGGAGTTAGAATAGAGCTTCCTCTGTGAACAGTTGAAAGAGAAGAGGAGATGAACAGGGACACGCGACACCGACACCGACACCTTGTACAAATTGTTCATTGCCAATTTCATGTAAAGTGACGGATATGCCCCTCCATGATCTAACACGAGAGCTGAATCATAACAAGACTCGCGTGTCGCAACTCACAAGCCAAGGGCAATCATCACTGCCATTTTCTGTTAATTTTCCTTACGTTTCCCTTCACTTAATTATTTCTTTTCCAGTACTTCATATTTTATACCCTTTTAAATTTTAAACTAGATTTCTTTTTAAAACCTTGAACTATAAGGTTTTTTCTTTTAAGTTAAATTATTTTGTCAAACTCTGTCAACAATTCTAATAGGAAAACATCATGTGAGGATCACGTACCTCAATTAACGTGTTTTCTTGAACTAAATAGAAAATTGCATTTAAATTTTGATGGTGACAAGTTTGACTATGACATCTAATCGAAGCAAGATGTTTCCTGACAATTATGTTCCATTAAAACAGTCGCACCACATAATTTGTACAAATGCCATGCCATGCCATGGGTATAAAATGCCTATTAGCATATAATAGACCAGTAAGGTCTCAACTTCTTTGATCAAATCAAATGCATTACTAAAACACACTTATTTTGTTCACCTAGAATAAAAGCCTATTCAGAATTCTGAAGGTGGTTTCCCTGTCTCCGAGAACTGGAGTCCTTCACTAAGGCTAATATTGCTCCCAAGCAGAACCCAACTTTGATGGAATCCACATTGCGAGGATTCGAGATTTTGCTCACTCAGTTGCCTTGCCTTTGCGCCTGCTGCCGCTGCTGGCGTCCAACATATAACAAACCATAGAGTCAGCATCATCCCCAAATATGCTGTAAGCCTCGATCACCTGCAGATAGCTGAAGCCCATTGACAGCACCATCTGCATGCTGCTGCTGAGAACAGCATCTGGCAAGCCACGCTCCCACTTACCTTCAGGCTTGGTGTCGCTTCGTGATGGCCCTGTTTTTCGCAGATGAACTTTTTGTCACAATCACAGCAGATAGGCCTAATTTCACAACTGTGATAACCGAAACCAAATGCATATCGACACAAACTAAAAAGGAATCAATTTAAGTCCCGATGGCCAATGTTGCAAAAGATAAAGAACCGTCCAGAGATCAATAAGAGGTGAAATGTCAATCTCTAAAAAGCAACACTTACTTGCACCAGAGGATGATGGCTCAGCACCAGAAGTCGAAGTTTCTCTATGACCAAGTTGCTGATTGAACTTGTCATTAGCAAGATACTCCACCCTAGTAGAAGCTTCCATTACCATGCGTTCAATTTCCTTCTCAGTGAGCTCAAGATCTGAGCAAAGGCGTCCCTCAGCTAAGAGTGCCTGTCATCAGAAAATGTTTCTCCATGGTTAGAAATATATATCTGCTTCAATTAAAGCTCAACACCAATGAATGAATACCCAACAAGATACTTGCATTATCAATCTGTTGGTCCTGTTGAGCTTTGATGGCACCTTTGACCTGATCTTTATCAACGTTTGTCTGTAGAGCAAACCAAAAACAGACTCACGTGCGAATAACAAATCAACTACAAGGGTCCAAGGGAGGAGGATTGTTATAATCACAACTCTGAAAAGAACACCATTAAGCTCTTAAGCATTAACAACATCAATGCTGTGTTGTTGCAGCCCTTAGTGGCAATATGGAAAATTTCAAAAATGATAACCTAGGGGATAATGAGATGCTTTTTGTGTTACTACTTACTAAACCAAACTCACCCCATGCAGGCAGCTAAATCCAAGTCCAGCACCAACTGTCAACCGACGTGGATCAACAAGTGAGTTGTAATGATTCCCATGAAGGTAACTTAGACATATAGCTGGTGTGTCAGTATTATAGCTGCCATGGAATATGTTGATAGGTTCTGCATTAACAAGCTTTGTAAATCAAACAGCAGAATGATGAAGAAACACAATTTTTTTCCTATGAATATCACAATCATCCATACACTAAACTAGAGCAGCACCTGTACTATTTGAGTAAATGTGAATAGGCCGATTGTACATTTCTGATAAAGCTTGAATCTCTACATTGTTTCCATAAACCTGCCAGACCAAAAAAAAAAAAAAGCATATATATCACACAGGATCCAAAGACAAAGGAAATGGACTCTGCAACAATGACTATAGGTGGCCTATTTTTGTTTTTTCAAATTAAACCTCCACCCGGCCCGTTTTATTGGTGGCCAATCAAATATGGAACAGCAACACAAAACAGAAGTAGAGGAATTCTACTTTCTAATTATCATTAGCAGAAGATTAGAGGAAGGAAAAGAAATCATGTAAAGAAATAAATTCACACGGGTGTGTGCACACAGAGAGAGAGAAAGAGCAGTGTGCTGGGTGTTCTATCTGTTTGTAAGGCATCCAAAGAAACTGGAAAAACTTTTTTCTGTTTGTACTGACAGAGCTTTTTCTTTGTCGAAAACTAAAATTCATACTAATCTGCTTTCCGCATAAAAAAAACAATCAAAGCACAATTGATCCTTGTACGATCTTTCGAAGTCAGTATGTATTGGTAAAAAATTAAAACACCTTTCAAAATCGCTTCCATTTATCGAGCATAACCCTGTTTGGATTAGAAACTTATACCAAAATAACATTAATATACCTTTTGTGCCTGTTCCCAGAGGTGCCAGCCAAAAAATTTTCATTTGCTTCGGTAAAACTAGTAAATTCATCAACCTTCAAGAGGAGACGATTCAGAAAAATTAAGGGCAAAAATAATCTCTATTGGGTTAAAAGTTAAAACAATCAAAATAACTACCCTAGTTACGGGCGTGTAAAATTAAAATATAGGTTCAGCAAAAATTAGATTGCTTAAGCCCAGGCAAGTCCTTGACCTACTCACCATTGATTTTTATCCATTTCATTTACCATCAGGTTTTTAGCAATGGAGGTGATAATTGTGTTGAGCATTCTGAGCTTTGATGCTCAGGCTTGGCTCAGGTTGGTGAACGTGCTATTCAAGCTCAGCTCAAGCTCGGACACTGGAGATAGATTATAGTCGAAGCTTAGTTCGACAAAAAAGAGCTTGGAGAAAAAATATCAGATCCACAAATCAACAAATCATAAACTAGCATTAAATTATCACTTGTCTCTGCTCACTTCGTTCACACACTAAGTACTACTTTTTATATGTTGTTAACCACATATTAATATTTCTAACTGATATCTCTTCCTTCAAAAATCCTCCAAAATATCTTCCCAAGGAAGCATATACATTTTTAAACAAACTGTGCAATATCACAAACTATTCAAAGGAAATAGTGCCCTGAGAGGAGTTCAACAACATCAGGATTGGACACAAAACTGAATCAATAATTTCATCCGCTAAGCTCTTTCGCTTAGCTTACTTCACAAAAGCTCAAGTGCTTTCCAATACCATAGGGACAGCAAGTTGATACAAGATCAATGAAAAAGAAGAGGCAAGAATAATAAGTGCAAAATGTTCAGAAATTTTATTAGTATTATCCAAGTGGAAAGTCAAAGGAAATAACAGCAACAATAAATAATGACGATACGCACCTTATCTCTTCTCTTCCTCTTGCAATAAGAAGTGAAACCTTCTGTTATAAACTGTGAGAAGTGGTCTCTCTCTCGCTCCTACATCATGCATGAGATAAAATTGGTTACTCTATGCTTCGACATGAACATATCAATAATCATAAAAAGTAAGACACAACATCCTTAAAGGTGTACCATATGAGAAAACAAAATACAACATGATATGTGAATCAACATGTTATGGACTACTCAACTTACCCTAGAACATGATGGAAATTCTCTAAAGGTTTGTTTGGGTCGGATATAACATGGGATGTGATTGAATAATTGATCTACCACTTTATCCTATCTAATTATACCATGTTTGGATCAAGAATTTTTTCGATAAGAAACAATGTATTATTGATAAATAAAATGAAAGAATACAAAGCCATATCAAGTGTGGACAAGAAGTCCGACACAAGACATGTCAATGGAACCTAAAAGATAAAAAATCAAAACAACAAGTCACAAGATACTTTCCAACTTGTTCTTATACAGAAGAGAGAAATATCTTGAAAATCGTTAGACATTGAAGCTCAAAAAGAAGCCAAAAAGTGAATCCTCTCCCAAAGCCCTTCAAATTCTTCACTTTTGTCCTCAAAGATCCTCACATTTCTTTCTTTCTAAATAACCAATAATGTAGCAAAGAAAGCACAATGTCAAATGGTCCTCCATTTGGAATTTCCCCCACACCCCACATCATTCAAGCAAAATATCACCTCCATATTCCTTGGAGCAGCCCAAACAATTCCATGAAGTCAAAAGGCTTGTTCCATAATGCTTGTACCAAAGAACAATGCAAAAATAAATAGTTCACGCTCTCATTTTCACCTCTACACATAACACACTATTGTGATTGAAGACAAAAGTTAGGTCTCCTCTTTTGAAGGACCTCAGTAGTGCTAATTTTAGCATGATAAATTGTCCATGCACAAACTTGCAACTTTAAATGCACCTTTTCCTTCCAAATCTTCAATGATGTATAGAAAATAGGAAGCAAAGGATCATCAATAAGAAACTCAAAGAACAATTTACAAGACAAGACCCCCAATAGATTACCAATCCAATTCCTCCTATCCACAAATTGTGGATCAAGATTGATGTTATTAAGCATGGAGAAGAGTATCACCAACTCCGAACATTCCTTATCCTTGAGATCCCTATCCCAAGAAATAAGATTAGAATGTGATCCTCCGAAAAAAGCACACGAATTTCATCTCCCACAACGACCTTGACTCTTTGAGAAAAGCAAGGTAATCCCTAAGAAATAAACCTCCACGAACTCCAAAAAAGAACCTCTTTCAACACCATTAACATCTCACCCGTTTGCTTACAAAACATACTTGCTCTTAATAACGGTATGTCACAAGGAATCTTATTTCAAAGGAACTCTACAAAGTCATTTTCTAACCAGTGCTATAATTTTTTCTCACCAAATTTCCAATTGACAACCCTCCCTTCTCTTTTGTCTTAAGTCACCACCTCCCATCTAATCAAATGGCCCTTTGTACCTTCCCCAACTTTTCTCATAAAAAATCTCTCATTAGATTTTTAATTTTCCTCGCAACCCCGGTAAGCATTTTAAAAAGAGACATGAAATATATTGGAATACTAAACAGAACCAATTGAATCAATGTTAACCAACCCCCCCTAGAAATATTTTTTTCAACTATCTAATCTCCTCCCAACTTTCTCCACGACAAGATCCCAAACAGTCTGTGACATCAGATTACTACCCAAAGGAAGTCCTAAATACTGCATTGGCCACCCACCCGCTAAACATCACATCTCCATAGCAACCCTATTTACCTTTTGCTCACAGAAATTAATTCCCAAAATAATACTCTTATTTATGTTAACCTTGAGCCCAAAAATTTTATCAAATACATCAACAATCATTTTTTAATTTTTGTTCATCACCTAAAGAAAAGAAAATAGTATCATCTATAAATTACAAATGAGATACTATAATTCTTTCCCTCCATATCATAAATCCTTCAATCAAATTTCTTATCTATTCCCTTTTCATAAATTTACTCCACCCATCTACCACTAAAATAAGAACGGTGATAACGGATCCCCTTGTCTAAGTCTCCTTTAAGCCTTAAAACTTCTCCTCGATTTTCCTTTCATAATCACTGAAAAAAATTTCAACTCCAAACAACCCTAATCCAGTTCCTCCATCTCCCTCCAAATCCCTTTTAAACATGATTATAAACTTTCTCAAAATCAATTTTAAACACAAAACCATCCTTTCTTTTTTCCCTATATTTATCAACAACCTCATTAGCTACAAGTGCTACATCCATAATTTGTCTTCCCCTCACAAAAGCCCCTTTAACTTTTTGAAATTGTTTCACTCAAACATTCCCTAAGCCTAATAGAAAGGACTTTAGCAATATGATCTTATACAAACTTGTAACCACACTAATAAGCCTAAAATCTTTCAATTTCAGAGAATTTGCTTTGGAATCAGACAAATAAATATAGCATTTGTAACGCTATTAATCACACCCTTATGAAGGAACTCCTCAAAAACCCTCATCAAGTCATCTTGTATTTCTTCCTAACAAACCTGGTAAATAACCATAGTGAAACCATCCAGACCTAGGGCCTTTTCTCCACTACACCCAAAAACAACTCTCCTTACTTCCTCCCTCTCAAAAGGTCTCTCCATCCATCTTGCAATCTCTACCTCAATGGGGCACCACTCAAGACCACTCAACATAGGTCTAGGTCCACCATGAACTAAGTATAACTTAGCAAAAAAAACTAATAATCTCCCTTTCAATGGTGCCCTCATCCTCAACTATCAATCCTTCATTAAACTCCAATTTGTCAATAAACTTCCACAGTTTATTCCCATTCGCCACCCTATGGAAGAATTTTCTGTTATTATCACCTTTTCTCACCTATTTAACCTTTGATTTTTGTTTTAAACTAATTTCCTCTTTAAATACCATTTTTTCACATTAATTCTTAACCTCTTTTCAAACTTTCATCCGTTCCCCTATTTTCTTCAATTTTATCCACTTCATCAATCCTTTCCAAAATAAATCTTTTTGATTTCCTTATATCTCCAAACACCTCTTTATTCTACACTTTCAGTCTTTGTTTTATACTTCAAGCTTCTTCATAAATCTAAATCCTTACCACCCTTGAACCTTTACCTCTCCCCACCGCTCCCTAATCTTCTTTTTAAAATCTCTATGTTTCACCCACATATTCTCAAATTTAAACGGGCAAGGTCCCCATCCAAACTTAGAATCCCCAAGAACAATGATCTGAGACCACTCTAGACAATACCTCTTGTCTAACCCCTAGACAGTAATCCTCTCATCCTATCAAAAACAAAAACTAGTCCAACCTCTTCCAGACTGCTCCACTCTGACCATTAGACAATATAAACTCATCATTGGCCAAAGGAGGATCCCTAATTTCAATTTCTCTAATAAAAGTATCAAAATCTCCAATACTTTTTGTTATTCTCCCTCCATTCAACTTCTCCCTCGAACATCTTATAACATTAAAATCTCCTCAAATACACCACCTAGGACAACATACTCCAAACAACCCTGCTAATTTTTTCCATAACGAAAGTCTAACCCTAGGTTTATTGGACCCATAAATCCCAGTGAGCCACCAATCAAACCCAGTTTAGGTTTAATTCTAATGGAAACAGTAAATTCCCCCTCTAAAAATTCTATTTGGATGAGACGTGCATCCATTGTTGTAATACCAATCTCACATTTGGATGGGAGATTGATGTATAGTATTAACTTTTAAAAAGACGAAATCACCTTTTTTCAAAAGTAAAGGCTTCTCTCATTCCAAGTAATTCCATGTTTACACTTTTTTGTCAACTTTAACATTTCTATCTTATAGCAGGAAGTTGAAAGTAGAATTTGTTGGTTGGTGGCAGTTAGGGTGGGAATGATGATGGTTGCTGCACTGCTAGTGGAGGTGGTGTACAAAGTTTGAGAAGAAGAAAATATGGGTCTGGATACATGAACTAGAATGTCTAGACATGATTAATTCTGTCCTAACGAGATAGAGACATAGTAATTTTATTTAAATGGGTAATAGCGGGTCAATGTTAGAATCTTCAACGTAATATTGGTTGACGTCATCTTTTCAGCGACAAAAAGGGTCTCCCTATCACAACTTTTTAAAGTAATGGCTCCTCCAATCTCAAATACATATGTCCACTTTTTCGTGGACTGCCAGGAAATTAAGAACAAAAACTCCCTTCAATTTGTCTTTTTTCTTTTGGAAACCAAACCAAACATAACATCATACTCCTTTCTTTTTTCTTTTCTTTTCTTTCTACTCTCAATTTTGAAGCTACCAGATGAAGAATTGCTGCCTCTCACAAGTGATCTTTGAGAAGAGCATTACGAGCCCTCTCCTAGAATGTTTTTGTATGAATACGGGAATTTAGGACATACTCATCTTAAGAATATTGCGACGCATCAAAAAACTTCAGATAACAAATAATGCAAAACAAACCAAACTATATATATAGACCAATAAAAACAACCTCTACAAAAAAACATCCTAACTCTTAAATTAATGATTGTCAATAAAAAATTAGATCGTACACAAGGATATAGGACGGGGAAAGCTATAGAGCTTGACATTGTTCTGCTTCCTTTTCTTTCTTTTGTTTTTATTAGTTAGCAACTTTTGTTTTCCAATTCTCCCTACCCTGAAACAAGCAAATACGTCAATACACTAGCTTCTTTGTCACAAATAATAGAGAATAGAACCCAATACAACTACTAGAAGAGAACACTGCATAAAAAAAACATTAACAATGCACACCAAACTTGGAGTTCAAAAATAAATAATTTCGTACCATATAATCTATGCACATTTGCCTAACCAAATCATACACTTCAGAGTCCCCATACACCTGATCCGCAACAGCACGAAAGAGGCAGTTCCCATCATCCAGCATTCTTTTGACTTCTAAGCCCTTTACCCGTCTTATATCAATCTCAAACTGGCGTTCCCTCTCCTGGAACAAATGCAGCACATCAATTTTTCAAAAATGGTTTTGGTTTTACCATTAGATAAGACATTTTTTAAGAAACATAAGACAACATGAATACCAGCAAGTCTCCCGTCTACATATATTAACAGGGTGTTAACTTAAGTTCTTGAGCAATCATTGACGCACAAGTCAAGGATATGTCAACAAGCACTGTAACTTATTCATCACCAGAACATCCAAAATTCATTTGACTATTAAGAGGCCAAAGCAATCAGAACTCACAGCATCATGATAGGAGGATCCAAAGCAAGGGCTTTTCTCATCAGCACTATTGTAACCCTCATTTTCACAATGAGACCTGGGGGAAGAAGGCCGAGACCCACTTTGTGATGTTCTAGTTGAAACAATAGGCCACACAGCTGCTCTTCTAGACGATCCTATACACACAGCACTTGAACCACCTGATCCAAATCTCCTCAAATTTGAATTCACAGAAGAACGTTTTGGAGGTGGGACTGGAGGCAGAGGTAGATAGGAACCCCCTATTGCCATCTGCAAAGAGCTTCCACCCGATCCTTCATTTCCCTCCTCTGCAGTTCTCATCCTGCTTAACCCTCTCACCAACTCCCTCGAACCCATATCATCATCAATCACAACCCCAATCCCACCTTTTTCATCATCAAGAATTTCCTCAGAATCACCATCATTACAATCATTGTTCGAGCTTTGCTGCAAAAGCTCATCACTTTTCACTCCCTTACTGTCACTGGCACCATAATATTCTGAGAGCTCTTCCACGGCCACTTTTTCTGGCACTTCCTCTCCCAATTCACCATCTTTCACAGCTGAAGCAACCTGAGAAGTACTTGTAACCTGAGACTGGGGTGGGGCTAGAGAAGAAGAACTTGGCACCAAAGAAGATGATCTATTCTGGCTCGACGATGACCCAGAACCTCGCTGAACCAAAATGCGGGTCATTTTCCTTCTTCAGCAACCTCAGAACCCTAGCCTTTATTTTCTTAAGAAACCCAAAATTAGAGGTATAAACCCCTGGTTTTCAATTTGCCCCGCGTTCTTGCCTTGGGCACTGTCACACCAATTCCTTGGCTGAATGAGTTGTTCCAGCCCAATTCCCTCTGCTCCTCTGGAATCGATCTCTGCATTCCCCTAACAATTCTCATGAGACCTTGAACCCCCACGTTTCAAAAACAACAAAACCCTTTTTAACAGTTTTCAAATTTACCCGAAGAAATCCCGCAAATATCCAGCTCGCACAAGCCTGCAATCAAATTCATCATACCTCACAAATCAACCCAAAAAAAAAAAATTCTACCACAAAATCCTGAATTTTACAAATCATGAAATTGAAGTCCATGAAACTCGAAATTCAGCGAAATTAGACACCGATTGAAATATAATAATTTACATGATACCACAGGAAATTAATAAGAACACAGAAACACTTCTAAATTCATCACACCTCAAAACCAACCACAAAAATAATCCCGAATTTTACACAATCATCAAATTAAAGTCCACATCCAACATTCAGCGATTTTAGACACCGATTGAAATGTAATAACGAAAATCACACCACGGAACTTAATAAGAAAACACAAAGACTTTTACCCCAAAGGTACCGAAAAGGAACACAGATACATCAAAGAAAAGTTCAAGAAAGTTAACATTTGAGAAAAATCAAAAGAAAGATTGGGCCGTAAATGATCAAGAACGATGTACATGCATAGGGGTATGATCTTGATGTCTATATAAGATCAATTTAGAGGGTTGACTCAGTATGAATTCAAAGGGAGACCCACCCGAGTCACCAATTTCGCAACAGTGAGGTCTCTGGTTTTCTGCGCAGCACAAGCATTGCATGGTGGCCAAGGGAGAGAATATATATATATATATATATATATATATATATATAGGGTAAATTATATTTTGACCCCCTCAACTATTTTTATTTTTATATTATTCTCTAAACTATTATTTTTTTAAATTATACTCTTAATTATATAATTTAATAGTTTAAATGGCAAAGTGAAATCAAGACGATAATTAAAAAAGTCAAAATATAATTTACCTATCTATATCTATATTTATATCTATATAATTAAAAAAAGTACTTTAGCATAAAAAAATTTAATTCACTATTCTACTCTTACAAAAAAATTTAAATACCGCAGACTTTTCATAGTTAAGTATCCAAATTATCATCATGTTCTTATGTGTTTAATTTTCTAAATTACCCTAAACATTTTTTTTAATTTTTTATTCTCTATGTATAAATATTAATATTTATGAAACTTGTTAATTGACTATGTTACCCTTTAAAAATAAGCATTAGTTATAATATTAATAATTATTATTTTTCAATGAATTTTAAGTTGAACCATAATCAAATGAATTATTTTTATCTTTTTTTTCTTATAGTTAGAACAACGAAGTGTTGGGAACAGACAAAATTTTTTGAATTCTATAATATAATACGAGTGATAAAACATAATTTTTATAAATTTTAGATGATATTTAATTAGGTACACATACACCTAAAAAAATTTTAATAATATTTTCTATACAAAAATTGTTAATGCACGAGGCATGTGGTACATGACTAGTATACATAAAATGCAGATAGAGAGAAAGCGAAAGTTATTTATGTGGGGAATCTTGAATCTTAATTTGATTCAATTATAATTATTAATTATAAAAAAAAAATTAATTTAATAATTTAATAAAAAAACACATTAATCAAATGCAAAGACCAGATATAATATTTTTAGATACTCAAATTGGATTCAAATATTAAACACAACAGCCTGATCAAAAAATTATTAATGCAAAATATCATCAATAAAACTAATAAACATAATGAACCTCAATTAAGGTAGTTATTCAATGAGATCATTATTAATAATAACATAATATCATATTACATTAATGATGTAGGAAATATAGGTAAGAGGGAACCGATGCTTTTGGTCTCATTAAGGTAGAGTGCAACTCGGGTGGGCTGGACAGTCAATCCTAGTTCAACCTTAATCCTACCTTGGGTTGAGAAACTCAATCCGAGTACTACCCGAGTTTAATTTGGGCAGGTTCGAGTTAAATTCGGGTTAATAATTCCGAATTATTTTATCGGTTCAATTAGGGCTTTAATTTGTCGGATTCGGATTGAACTCGTGAACCCAAGACCTTAACCCGAGTCTAATCTAAATTGAATTCGAGTTAGAGTTTTTGACCCAAGCCCAACTCAAGTATTAAAAACCTTTACTCAGATCCTAATTTTTTTGGGTTGGGCTCGGATTGAAATCAGGTTGCCCAACCCAAATTGCACCCCTACATGAAGGGCCACTTTTTTCTTTCTTTCTTTTTTTTTTTGAATTTTGGAAGGGGATGCTTTAGAGTGTTATTTTTATCGGTGAAGGTTGGTCCTAGCAAGGGTTTTCATATATAGAATGAGTCTCACTTGAATTGATATTAGATGATTTATAAGAAAAAATATATATAATGTTGGAGATATCACTTTCTAAGTAGTAGAACTTGAGATTCAACCCCTCTTCTTCATTTGGAGGAAAAAGCTACCCTATCGAATGAGATTAGAAATAATGATCCAAAGTTTAGAATTAGGAGCAGTTAACAAGGGATCGATCCTTAAAAAATTTGGTACTGATAGTAGCTTTGATTGAATTTTAATTTGACTTAAACGTAATTTTTGATATAATATCAAAAAATTATTTCTCGAGTTAATAAAAAATTATAGATTTTTCCCTTGCGGATGCCCACACAATTATTCATTTTTTGTCCCTTTTTGACTTTATCAAGTTTCATTTTTCACCTTAAAATTGCACCAACAAAAAAAAAAGACAATTGAGATGCAAACAGATTAATTTCATTAAATTTACAAAATACACCAAACCCAAATACATAAAATTCCCACACTCATGATATGGGTCGGATCGGATCCACATCTTGATTTACAGCAGTAAATGAAATACTATTGCAAGTAAGTCCACAATAACTAATGCCAATTGATCACAGACTTCTTTCATCGCTAGTGCTTGCGGAGAGTCACCGCAGAGAGGACCACCAGGAACAGGAAGAACACGGCGGCGATGAAGGAAGCCACCACCGCGCTGCTGACACGCTGGCAGAAGTCGGTGAACTGTTGGCAAATGGCCAGCCAGTTTGTGCTTGAATTGCCACTGTGTGCTAAGTACACGATGGCGGCGGCGGCAGCTGCGGCGGCCGTGGTAAGAGCCACCATCACCTGCAATGTTTATAGTGAATTTTTTAGGAACACCAAACACTAATACACACTGAATATATGTAGGGACCTAATTCACCAGCTTAATTAATTATTATCATTGGATTAACACTCTTAAGGCCCGACTATAAATTTAATGATAATGATGAATTAAGTTAATAATTAATACAAGAAATTAATTACGTCGGAATAATATTATTATGTAGAATAATAACAGTTAAGTGATAATTACAATTGACTCAAAATAAGTCGGAAATAGTTCATATAAGTCATAATTTTCGCTATATTGCCTTGGGGTGTCAAAATATGAAACTTGTTAACACGGGACTAAATTAGAAAATTTTAGTTTATGTCACTCATTTTGTAAACGAGTGGATCAGATACCGGTTATATACGATTCATACATGATACAAACTCAATATTACATAATTTGTTAGACATGAATTAATTCGATGTAAATAAAATACTTTTTATTACTAACCCACTTTATCCGACAGGATAGATATCTATAATGCTACCGAAGTCCGTGGATTATGCTTACAGTGTCAAAGATGAGGAGGAGGAGCTTCGCTCCTGCTGCATGTGGACGAACAATGCACACAATTGAGAAGGGCAAAGAGAGGACAAGGTATCCACTAGCTATGGCATTCGCAATCACGAAAAACCTGCACATTCATCACATAAACAAAATATAAAACAGGATGATACGTGTACATGCCAACAAGTGTCTTTTTTTAAACGAGTAATCGTCTCAATCAAACGTTTTTCAAAATTTCAGTTATAACCATAAACCAAGACATATAATGATCACCCACGAATCATGCGTGTCGGTTCAACATAAGTGTTAGCAGAGCGAGTTTATGTATCACTTCTTGTTCGATCACCAAACCGCGCACTTATGCTTAAAAGAAATTTGATTAAGCGAAGGATACATACGAGAAAGCAGGGAAATCATCATAGCTTGCTTGGAACTGAAAGAACTGAGTGAAGAAGGGGAGGGTTTGATCAGTAGTTCCCATAGTAGTGGTGGCAGCCAAAGCAGCTGTAATGGCACAAAGCCTCAGAATGAAGTCGAAAATGGCGACGCCTCTTTTCCATCCTCCTGCCTTGTATGGGGTAGCTTTTGTGGTGGCCGTAACCACCGCAGGAGCGGCGGCAACAGCAGCAGCTTTTCCTTTGCCGGATCGTGATTCTGATACGTTGATTGCCATTTCACTGCTGTTTTTTGTTGAATCCATTGGGTTTGTAGGGGAGAGAGAGGATTGTTCTCGAAGAAAACTGAGAGATTGATATGAATACCCTTGATGAGTTAAGGTTATATAGAGGATGGTAGAGGAGGGAGAGAGAATGGATTAGTTTTGATTGACATAAGGAGGATTATGGGAAGTTTGGTGCTCGTAGGTACAGCTTAAACAACAGACGAGGAGTTGTTGCCAACTTGCTCCACTTACAAAAAATTAGAGTTTTGCCGATATAGCCTCCGGGCATGGGATTAAGAAATAAATTTCGTTTTAAAACGGTCGAAAAATTTCTGTTTTCAAAAAATTAGAAACGAATCATTGATTAAATATGTTTCGGTGTATTTTAACCAATGTTTTAGTGTATTTCAATACTACCGTATTGGCTCCACAACGAAGGGGAAGCATTAAGATAAAACCTATATTATGCCCTTCAATGGAGTCAGTGATTAGCTATAAATTAATCACTTAAACATAGTCTAATCAATCACCCACTCAGTCTTCTCTAATTTATTGATCTCATATCGGAGCAGGTTACAACTATATTTCCTATAACAAAATAGACTACAATAAGTTCTATTTTTTTTTTCTTCTACAACAACATAATTCAAACATCACTTCATAGGTGTAGCAATTGTTACGAGATATTATGTTTTTATGATGAAACATTTTTTTTGTCTTTTTTAATCAGATGTATAAATAATAAGTGTTTATTGTCAAGTTTTCTTTTTTGTTTCGAAAAACAATCTTAATTTTTTATGAATTTCATTTGCAAGCCTATGAGTCGAGGCCAACCTATAAATTCAAATTCAAAAATTGACCAAACTAAAGTGAAAAATGACAACTTATTACTTATCTTCTCCAAATACAGCGGCAAATAACCTTATGCACAAAGTATGACCTCTAGTATGTCAAGCCAAGAAGGGGAAGGATCATGGTGCTAGATTTACACGATATTACTTAAAGGGGTTCATTTGGGCTTCAATTCAATTTCCTTGCAAATGAAATAATTCCGAGCAATGCTCTGTGCACCAAAACTTACATCAAATCACTTGTAGTTGTTGGATCAGTAAATTCTATCACTAATCAACAACTATAATTGATTTAGTGCAAGTTTTGGTACACATAAAATTATTCAATAATTCCATTACATTTCATATGTCGCTCTAGACAAAAAACAGTTGAGAAACACCAAAACAATGCAGGCACACTCACACTTACAGAGACACAAATATATAATGTTGGAGTAAGTACATGACATAGCAAGATGAAGAAATGTCATTCCATGAGGAGTCCACCCCCTCGGTCATCGGCTTTTTCCACATCACACCCCTAATTATCTGACATATCTGTTCCACTATTCCGAGCTCTATTGTGAAGATGACATTCAGTATCTATCAAAGGCACATAACCATATCCATGGCCCCTTAAAAGAGGTGATTTTTGTTAGAATATGTGTTAAAGTTCCTCCATATTAATTAAAACACGATTAGTGGTTAAATTCGAAAATATATAAAACCTTAATCCATTGGTCAAATATTGCATTATTCATGACATATATCATAAATGCATTTTTTGTGAAATTATTATGAATTAAATATTATTTTATAATGATACATGTATACATATATTACATTAATATAATTGAATATTTATGGTAGATCTTTTCTAGTTAGTATGAGTGGCTTGGTTAGAGAGACCCATCAAGTAAAGAAAGACTAGTCAATCCTACTTGGAGTATAATTAGTCTACTTTGATTGCGGAGGGTTATGAAAATACTGGTGGAGTTAAAAATATATTGAAAAGTTGAAGATATTTTGTTAAGTGATAACAACTAGTTAAATGCTCCCTTATAAATAAGGTTCTCTGCATACAAAAAAAAATATGCCAAGAAAACACCAAATTTGTGAGAAAACCCATTAGGGAAAAATCACAACCCTACTGTTTTATATCAAAGAGAATTTTTAATTCTCAAAGGCTAGCTCCCCCATTCATTAGATTTATCAAATTTTATTCTGCTTATTTCTCCAAATTTTTAGCTTGCATCTGAAGGGAAACTGAAAATCGAAGTCTTTCGAGTGAGATCAACCAAAACTCCAGAACTACAATCCCATGAAGAACAGCTCAAAACGATTCCATACAATGAAGTTCCAAAACACAAAATTCTCCCCCAAAAGACACCCATCTCTTACTATTTCACAAGCCGTGCTAATAAAGCTGACATTTATTCTAGTTTCAAAACCCCCCAGGGCAAAAGAATAAGCCATCAATGCTGACCCCAGTATCATGTCTAAGGTATTTCTGCACAAGATTCATAACAAGTAGCTTTAAAGAAAGTAGTACATAAAACAATGAGAAAAATACTACAACATAAATAAAGGGTTCTTCTCTATGGCCGCAATCTCCATCCACGCTCGGCAAGTGCTTCGTGAACCCGATTGGCTGCTTCTGCTGTGTCGTTTAGCGGAGGATAACTCCAGATTTCTGACATCTGACAATCACCAACAAACATTCTTATTAATAATTTGCACCAAAATAATTCAATATTTTATGGCAAACAGTCATTATGGGGGATAAGGAGATGAAAGGTGAGAAACTTCAAAATGAGTTTTAAGTCCCTCGACAGGAAGCAGCCCTCAAATTAACAATAGTATGTTTTTTCTTTTCCTCCTTTTTTGGGAGATTCAACATCCTCTCTAATCACTCTGGCAAATGCAACAAACCAATGCTGGTCACAGAAGTGATAACTGATTCATAAAGGAACAAAAAATGGCAAATTTTGCGTGTGGTCCCATGAAAGCTAAGACAAATGTCCAACTGGAGAAATCATATGGCCTTACATAGCAATATGGGGAGATCAAACACAAACACCAAATAGACTGGGAAAAATAAGTTCAAAGATTAGCAAAATTATATGAAACAGGTAGCTGAAATACTAAGATTTGTCCCAGTATTACACGCCCTAGATTATCCTTTCTCCTCACCTTCTGGAAGAAAGATAAAAGTTTGTAGAGGACAAAATGTCATTAGTTAAATGGTATCTATATATCTATGAGGCAGACATCCTTTCAAGTTTCTCTCATCTGAAAATCAGTAAAATGATTGCCAGTTGTTACTTACATCCTCAAGACCAGTAAATGGCCTAACAAGACCTCGTTCCATCAGAGAGTTATGAAACTCCACAAACTTCCACGTACAACGCTCGGCACCAATAACATATACAGGTTTACTGCAACGAGCCACGAACAAAATTTTAGAAATAACTAGCACACAGCAACCCACATAATAAATCCTATTTGAAAACGAAACAAACCAAACATGTAGGGGATTATCATTGATCATTGAGATAATTCCCCTCAAGCATACCCGGTGCTGCAAGCTTCACTCAGCAGACTAACTGAATCCGCAGTGATGACAAAAGTATCAGCCCAAGCTAGATGCCCCATGTGTGGATTTGGTTCTAAAGATGGTGAAATGAAGTACACATCAAATGAATATCCAAATTTATTATGAAATTGTTCATCTCTTCACATACTTATCAACTTGAGATTACCTTCACCGTCCCATATGTAAACTTTTGGATGATTTCCAAATTCTTTCAATACGATATTGGAAACCTGTTATTGGCAAGCACAAGTAGAAATAAAAATAAAAAATTAGGACAAGATGCAAAGAAAATAAACGGAGGATCCACCATATTAGGTGAAAATTTGAATCATATCATAATACCTTCTCAGGAGTCCTCCTTGAGAAAGATATTCTTATGCTACCACAGCTTGCAAGAACATTGTGCAGAGAGGCTGTTAACTGCTTTGCAAGGTCAGCACCATATCGACAGCGGCCTAAATCAAAATCCAGGGAAAGAATAAGTAACAAAAAAGGCTGCACACAACTAATAACTATGATAGAATATGAAAAATAAGTAAAAAAAGAATGGATACTTCAGAACTTCACCGAAAAATTAGAAACATATACATGGAAAGACACGCATAATAATCCAGCAGAAATATTTGAACAAATAGAAAAAGCAGACAATTTCAAGTTGCAGAATCATAAATTGGGATCGAATTATAAAATTGAAGCAACTCAAAATTTTACTTTAATCTATAGTAAACATAGGAGACAAATCAAGAGATAATTGACCTAGATGGTTTGGACATGTATAAAGAAGAAAACCTTTAACTGAACCAGAAGAGTGAAATGGTAAAGTAGATATGACAGCTTGCAACTTAACAAAAACTATTGCCTTGATTTAGCACAATGAAAGAAGAGGATTCATGTCGCCAACTCCCACTAGTTGGGACAAGGCTATGCTAAGTTGAGTTAATCCTTGCAAGAACCAAAAATGGTGTCCAATGTTAAAAAACACTTAAATCTGAGTCACAAAATTGATTGCCTAGTCTTCGTGATAGTAAAATAACTCTTTTGTACAGATATGAAAATAAAAGGCACGAAATGAAGACACAATCCAACAAGAAACCCTGATTTACACTGTACCTAGAAGAGGGTCAGATTGCCTTCTTGCATCAAATTTGCCATTCTCCAAGATTTTACCAAGAAATTCTAAAACCAATGAAGAAATTCTAAAGGTGGCAAAACTTTTAATTTCATTTCCATAAGCAACGAAATTTCAAGCCAATGCTTAGCCAATGACCAAATAGGATCCAGTGCGCTAATTATCCCTGAGCTCATGAGGAAGATGCCTCGAGTTAAAAGCACCTGATTCTTAATATTTTATACTCCGAAGTGAATCATTGATGTTTTATTTTATTTTCAGACATTCGCATAGTACATTTTATCTCATAAGCTACATTCCGCCTTTCTTGTTATGCCTCCATAGAATTCAATTTACACATAAATTAGAAAATTCTAACCATGTCTCAATTGCTTGTCACTTGGTACAGTGAAGGACACCTAGCTTTTTGCATTTGCTCCAAAACAACGTGACACTGATACAGTTACCTAGAATAATGTGACTATAGTTTAAGATCATGATATTGGCAATCGACTAGGAGACACTACGATACATCAGTTGCATAGTTGCGGAATACTATCGGTCGATACACATAAAATGCTAGATAACAGGCTGAAAAAATCTATTTTAAAAAAAAAATTAGAAAAATATAAGCAACAAAATCTCAACTAAACAATATAGCAACTATGCAGTTAATCAATGGCAATTTTCTTTTCTTGTCTTCCCCTTTTTTATTTCGATTTTTTGCTTGCACTTTTCAATTTATGGGATTCCTCGATGAATCTGCCAAGTCAGTGATGATTCGACCAATTTTAGTTGACTTGTATATGAGTTTAGCTGATTCAACCAAGTCAAAACCGATTATGTGTGGTTGGGGCCGAGGCGGATACAACACAACCGAGTCATATCGATCTCTGCCGACATTTTGAACCTCGAATGAGACTCCAGAAGGTGGATAGTCTTTGCGGGTAAGGACTGAGGTGGACAATGGCCCCAACCACGATCTCTAAGACGTCTAACTTTTTTAATGAAAATCTGTACTAGAGGAGGGATTTGGAGTCCTCTACCTTTATTGGTAGTTAATTATTAGTTTATTATTATTAGCCATGATTCTCTCTCTCTTTCTCACATTTCTCTTCCTTAACCATCTCTTTCTGACACACACAGTTGCCTCACCTCTCTATCTCACACACATGACCAACACCGCATCAACAATATTATGCATTCACATGTATTACACACGCAATCAATTAAAGACACATTAAATTACACACACAAACGTGTTTGCACGGAAACTAGTTTATTGCTTCAATTAGACGAATGTCCAATCCCTACCTCACTTTGCCCAAACCATAATATACAGAAGAAGAATCTCTGCTCTAAATAGTAACATGTTGCCACCTATTCTAGCAATTAAAAGAAACTCCTAGACCAAGCAGACCCTGTGTTTCTACTCTATGCTTCCAAATTACTGACAAGCCCTGATAGTCATTTAGTTATAAAAGAAACATATGAGAAACTGTCATGCCATGATTCCGTTGATGGATACAAATAGCAATGTATAGAAAATAATCAACCGAACTTGCACAAGTATTTCAAGGAGAAAGGCCACTTTCAGAAATGAAACAGACACTGCAACTTAGGAGAAACAAATAACAGGCAGATATCAATAAAACAGGAAAAAGCACCATTCCGCTGTGGTAAATCTAACACTAGAATGTATCAAAAAAATATTACTCGTGGGGCCTCCAATGTTGACCACAAGTAACGGCTTTGGCAGAGGTGAAAACTCTTCATGCCATGAAATGGCTGCTGTGCGAAGTGCAGCAGAATCAACTTGATGAAGAGCTCCTACAGTGAGGACCTGAGCAGTGCATAATATTGAGCAAAAGACAGATTCGACAGTCAGTAAACCACAAAACTTCTCATAAAGATACTAAAGGAGGACACTTCAACAAGTACATCATCCAAATACGTACCACATGCCTATCAGGAGGTTCACACGGAGTTACCCACTTCCGCAAAAACCGAGGGACCTGCTCCTGTGCACGAGGAGTCAAAGGGTAGTAATCATGATGAGGGGTGATCACCATGTCGAACCGATTCAAATGGGACCTTGGGTGCTGAATCTGAATCCGAAAGTGTGAAAGATAAAAGAAAAGAAAGAACCTTAGAAGCCAAAAACAAGAATATGTCAGACCCGTAAGCATATTCACATAGTACCAGTTGAATTAATGAACGTAATAACTCATAAGCTAATAACCAGCACAAATATAAAATCAACATTTTTCAAGAAAGCAGTATCTGATTTCATGATAACGTTTTCAAGAAGAAGAAAGGGAAACAGAAAACGCTGGCAGGATATTTCAATTAATTATTTCCTTACAAACTCCTAAATTGTTGATAATGTGTTCAAATTTTCATTGATACTTGCAAAGTTGCAATATTACAAAGGAAAAATATGTTTTTCAAAGTAATGGAAAGGCCTTTGGTTCCACCATATGATTAGGGGCGCAACTCGGGCGGGTTGGACGGGTTGAGAGGTCAACCTTAGCCCAACCCTAAGTATATAATCTTTAATCATAACCCTAACCCTACCCCTAACCCTAACTCTACCTCAACCCGAGGTGCTCAACCCTAGTACTGTCCGGGTTCAATTGGGCGAGCTTGGGTTGAATTCTGGTTATTTAATTCGGTCTATTTTTGGATTAAAAATAGGGTTGGATTCGGGTTGATAAAATAGGGAGAAGTGAGGAGTGAAAAAGGGAGACTGAAAGTCTGAGACAAGACTCATACAAGGAAGAGAGGGAGGCTGAGAGTCTGAAACTAAATGAGAGACGAAAGACGAGTGACGAGTGAAAGAGGGATCTGAGAGTGATGGAGGTGTACGGGTGAAGACTCGAAGTGATGTGAAAGTTTGAACTTTGAACAATGAAGATAAATACTAACTCTAATTAAATATATTTATGTATATTCAAGTTCAATCCGATATAATAATCAGGTTCAACTTGATTTTAATATTCGGGTTGAACCTGACAACCTGAGGCCTTAACCCAAGGCTTGTCCGAATTCAATTCGAATTGGGGATTTTTTATCCAAGCCCAACCTAAGTATTAAAATTCTAACCCAAAACCTGTTTTTTTCGGGTTGAATTTGGGTTGACCCGCCCAAGTTGCACCCTTACATATGATCCATCATCAAATGTGCTACGCACTATCCTGAGTCAGATATCCATAATATATTTAAAATTTTAAAAAATGTTTTTTTGGAATTTGACTCAAGTTTGACGGGCATCCAGAAATCAATGAATATTGCAGAAGACACTTGTAGTGTTTCTGAATGGGGAAAAACGTATAACTGCACCTAGTGGTATTAAAGGGTTTCCAGGTAAGCTCTTATTAGAAGTTGACAAACCAGGCCAGCAGATAACTGCTTATTCATTCCTTCATATATATATATATCAACTAAGAAGGAACTAACACTACAACAATAAGATTACAGTAGCAAACCTGGACAACAAACACATTCTCCGATGCTAATCTTTTTAAAGAGCTTGCAATTGATATAGTATCTCTGCCAGATGCAACCACCAGCAAAGGGCCATCCCTGAAAAATGGTATAAGACAACATTGTAAGTAGCCAAAATAAGTTGGCGTCTAGACTTAAAAGATGAAAGCATGGAAGTACACACTAAAACACATTAAAATGTGAAGGTGAAGTGGTGTTCATCAAGGAAAATGCAATTGGTAAATTGAATTTCGGTGAACTGGAAAGTGGAAACAATAACTCCGATATGTCAACAAGTAATATTGCAGATCTAGACCCAGACACGAACTTGAGATACTGACAAGTCCAGGATACGACAAAATAGATACATTTTTATGTAATATAATACAGATTGCTTACATAATCTTATAGCCATTGTGTATCACAAATCTTTAGCTTATGAGTCATCATTGTCAATTATCACCTATAATAACAATCCATACTGCACAGACAGAGCATAGCAAAAATTCATTAGATGATTTCTTTCATACTCCCATGCCCCTTCCTTTAACTAAATATTCCAATATTTTACTTCTACTTTAAAATTAGTACCGAATTGCTAATAAATTTCTTATGTCCTTTTATTTAATTAATCTTCGTAATTTTACTTTTCTTCAAGCTATGAGAAAGTCATACACTAACTTTCGAGTTATAATCCAAAAAATGTGGAAGCGTGTCCAAAATCAAAGTTGTTATTCTTTTAGAATGTACTCGATAGACATGTGTCCACAAAGTTATGTGTCTGACATGGGCATGCGGCCTTTTTAGACGTGTTTGTGCTACTTTGCTACAATGTAATAAGAATAAAGAAGTATATCATTTGCCAAAAACCAAAAGAGTCATTTAATTAAAATTAATATAACCATGAAACTTATTCCCTTTGAAACCCCCTGCTAGAATCAGTTAAGGGCAATTCTATTTAGACCAGATGCAATAAGAAAAACTAGAATCAGAGCAGAAAAATTGTCCAGGCAATAAGAAATTTCCACACTAAGCTCAAAACATTTAGTAGTATTCCCTAAGCAGATTAGAAAATATAAGTCTTTTGGCATATACATGTAATTTAACAGGAAGTAATGCCCCTAGACAAAGTGCAAGGGCAAAACAGAAGTAAAATAGTAAGACCTCAAAGACTAAGAACAAGGCCCAGCAGTTAATACATGTTTGACTGAGAGCAATAGCAAGCACAGATTTTATTGCTAGAAAACCCAGGGAGTCACTAAGTGGAAAAATAATTTGTACACACTATAAAAACTTAAAATTTCTTTCTGAGAAATTAAACAAAAAAAGTTTGCAAGCATTTTCATGAAGAATATAGAGGTCATATGATAAGCATGCATCAAAGACTTGAGTCATTTTAATGAAACAGATTTCAGAGTCGATAAGCATACGTGTCCTTCATATGCCATGCATCTATCCAAAACCTCTTCATCCTACATTTTGGTAAGAAATCCTTTATAAGGTGAAAACTTGGGAATGTATTTATGATTCTAATAAAGAATTACTTCATGGTGCCTCTAAGAATAAGGTCACACAATGGCCCTTTGACATAGCACTGTCACAATACAGTCGCACAATATTTTCATGCTATGTTATGATATCTGCAGCTGGATCAAGTCTCTACATTCCCTGAAACCCGATTGACTGATCCAAGTATCTCAGCAGTTACTTGAATTAACCAAGCATAACCTATCATCTTCAAAGTTATCACCAGATGGTTTGACCATCTTTACCATTAACAGCACCGCACTACGCAAAGAGCTCCTTCTAAAAAGCGTGATACAAGAAGGACCAGGACTCACATTACCGTGAAATACTACTTCAAAAAAGAGGTGATCAGAGAGCCAAAGAGTCATAAGTCGTACTCTAGAAATATGACTGTGTCAACATTTGCATTGCATTTCCATATTTCCCACTCTAATGCGAGGCTTTAATAATTTACCCATTTTATCATGTCTGAAACTAATTTTAAAATAATGCCTAATATTTGAACCATCATAAATATCAAAACTAATTACTTAGCTCTGTGTAGAGTTTTAAGCATGAAACAGGCTGCTTTTAGATGTGAACGTAATTCTTTGAACAATTCTAAACCAAGATAAAGAATATAGTTTAACAAGCTAGATGTAAGGGGCAGAATGACATACTTCTCAAAAGTCTCCCGCGCCATTGTTATAATCTTCTGAACATCCGCTTCTAAAACAGATGATAAGCCAACACTGCCACCATTTTCGGTATGTAGAGGCGCAAGTTTCTTCCCTCTGCCTGTCAAGAGAATTTGTGAATAACCATATATCTGCCTGATGATGTAATCTAACTTCTTGTGGAAAGAAACTGGGAGCCAGTGCAGCCACTCATTAACTCCTCCTCTTGGCCTTGTAACCCGCTGCATGTGGTGACAGGATAATGTCACACAAGCTCAACAAACAATACAGGGCTTAAATTAAAGCTGTCAACAGGGCTTTCCCAAGCCATTTTGTGAAACACGAAATTAAATTGGAACAAAATAATTACCAACAAGCATATAAAAGTAATGTTAATTGTTCACCCAAAGAATAGAATATAATGTACAAAACGAATCAATGAAACATCAAAACAAGCAACCTAATTCCCAATACAGTTTAACTACCCAAAATATGAAGGATTGCAAATAAATTCATAATTCAATCAACCTTCAGTAAATCGATATTAGGGCAGGTTTTTCAACAGAAAAACCTTTAAAAAAAAAATTCCAAATCACACTATATTCAACATTCATTCCCTGGAGTTTCTTAGGAACCAAACAGAAGACAACACAAAAACTGAGCAAGTTAGAAAATCGAACTCACATATAAGGTGTGCTTCTCAGAGAACCCAAGGGCTCGAACCAAACCGACGCTCTGATTCTCAGAAGCCGAAAATCCGTTGCCGATAATAACCGCCCGTCGGATCACGCCGTAGACTCCACCTTCGAATATGTCGGGCATACCCCTCGGTGGACTCCCCGGCGGCTCCGGAAGCCTTATTGGCTTCATCTATTACACTCTATATATGTGTGCTCTGTGTTTTTGAAATAAAAACCCTAAAAAGATTACCAAAATTGGATTTCAGGTCCGTTCAATAACGAAAAATTTGTATGTATATGTGTATGTATTTTCTGTATATGAATTAGGGTTTGTATAAATTAAAGGGTTTAGAGGAAGGTAAACTGTGTATGAGAGAAATGAAAAAAAAAAAAAAAACCTGTGTATGAGAGAATGGAAGAGAAAGTTGAAAGTGTGAGATCGTTTTGGCTTGCGACAACCGCAAGGATTATGAATTGAGCAGTTTTCTTCAATTCGGTTTTACTACTAGTGGAAACGGGTTGGCTTGGCTTGGCATGGCATGCTACGTTTACATGGTGGTAAAAAATATTTGGGAGAGTTAAACTTAAAAGGACTCGTTCGGTTAGGAAAAATAAAGTGAAAGAAAAAAAATAATAAAAAATATATTTTCACGCATATATTTGATAAGAATGAAAAATTTACAGAAATTTTTTTAAAAAAAAATTATTTTATTGTTTGAAAAAAATAAAGTTATAAGAAATTTTTATAATTGTCTAAATTATCCTTAATTATATTAAATTGATCTAAAAAAGAAAAAAAATATGTAATTACAATTGAATGTTAAATTTTTTTTAAAAAAGTGGCTCGAAACCTAATTCTAAGACAATCATCAACACAAAAGTCTTTGACCCAAATTATATGATTAATCAAATTCATACTAATTTTTTTAAAAATTAATAACTAATAAAATATTTTAAGAAAAATAAGGGTAAAATTCAAGTATGAAAGAAATTTATTTTTTCTCTCATTTTCTTTTTCATGCTAACCAAACACATTAAAATTTTAAAAAATTTCTCTTTCTTGTATTTTCTATCATTCTCCCGCTAAACAAACAAACTTAAAGTGACTCCCCATTGAAATATTATATACAAATTTTTTAAAATTTATACGCGTGACCTTGTTGTCAATGATCATCAATGAATGACACTTAAATTCTCTATAAAATTTATAGACGTATAATACTTAAGTCTCTCAAGTTTAAAATATTATACTTAAACCAAAAATAATTTAATAAAATATCAAATGTCAAATATTTCAAATTTTATAACCAAAATTCATGTTATATTGTACTATTTATTGAAATAAAATCAAAATCAAAATTTAATTCTTTTTTAAAAAAATCATAATTATTATACAATTATATTATTTATTGGAATAAAACTAAAAAATCAAATAAGGGGTTTAAGTCATTCATAATTTAACATAAATTATACAACTAAAATTTATGTTCTATTATGTCAGTTGTTGAAATAAAATCAAAAATAAAAATTTAATTTTTTATTAAAAAATTATAATTAATATATAATTATACTATCTATTAGAATAAAATAAAAAAAAATAAACAATGGGTCAAATTGTAATTGACAGAATATTTTCTATATTTAAGTAGGGTAATTTGTTAGTTTAATTTCGTCATTTAAATGACCAAATTAAATTCCAATAGATAGTATAATTATATACTACTTATATTTTTTTAAGAAAAAATTAAAATTTTATTATTAATTTTATTTTAATAAATATTATAATAGAACATGAACATTTGTTATAAAATTTAAAATATTTAATATTCTATCTTTGATTGTGATGAGTTTGAAATTAACTGGGTCAAGCCCAATAAATTAATGAGCCCCAAAGACAATACTAAGATGGGGCCAAGTTAGCACCAAGAAGGGACCAAGCCAATGAATTAAGAGGGCCTACTTCACTCATCAAGAATCAAGGAGAAACTTAAGGAGGAGCCTAAATTATCAAGGAGGAGTCAAGAGGGCGTCGCACAAGGGATACCCTAAGAGGGCCGCCCAAGGGGGACACCAAGGGGCGTCACCCAGGTGTTGGTCTTCTACCTCTCTTTCACTCTCTTCTCTTTGTCACTCTAACTCAAGTCCAACCTCAGGATCAAATCCAACTCAGCTGAGAGTCCTCCTCCGACGGAATAGGGACACGAGGGAGAAAATATCGGGATACGCATGGAGATCAAATCCTACCACAACTATACTTACCAAAGTGGTAGAAATCCTCTCCCTCACGTCACCGCCTTACTAAGCGTATATAATGTAAGCTCCTTCCATAAAGAGGGAGACCGGAGAGACAACACAGAAACCTGTACACCTTGAAACTCCTACACACACTACACCTAGAGCTTTTTGCCTCTCTACACACATTGTTCTCTCTCTCTTTCAAAAGCATTGTAATACTCCCAGAGTACATTCTCCCGGTTACATTATTCATCAGTAAAAATCTCCGGTCATCGCTGCCGTTTTCGAGAGTGGAGTAGGTCATCCGAATCGAACTACTACAAATATCTGTGTTATTTATTTATTTATTGTTCTATCATTGATTATCCTATTTACTGCTTATTGACCGCACCCGTTCATATTCTTGACTGTTGATCTTGCGCAATACCAATTTGTGCATCATCAATTTGGCGTCATTTGTGGGAAATCGACTAGTTTTCCTACTCACTAAATTCATGGCAATCACTACCAGATCAATGAGCCAACAGCCGGGAGACAACAACCCGCCCTACCGGGAGGAGGCTTCGCCTCCCCTTGCACTTATATAACCATCTGTTACTACTACTCCCACCGCTGGACATCAGCAACAACTCCTCCAGACCATACAACTGCTGGTGAGCCAGAACCAGCAGATCATCCAACTCATACTCTCCCAAGGAGGCGTCGCCCCTCCCCTCGCAGGAGGAGTCCCACTCACCCCACCAGGAGAGGAGCAACTGCCTATCCTTTCTGGATGCTAGGCAGCCCCACACCATGGGGTCCCATCTCGAGAACATTCCAGGATCACGCCAGGGTGCCCCTCGCCTAGTCCCTCCTCAGCATGCAGGGAGTTCACAAGCACCTCATCCTCACGAACCTATGCAAGAGAACGAGGATAGAGAGAGTCAATACGGAGACCATGAAAGCCAATATCACCACCTAATGGAGGATGTCCCTAACCGGTGGGATGAGAAGATCAGAGAGGTACAAAATTAACTCGACGATGCCCTCAACGACATCAAAGCACAGGCGCTTGAAACCGTGGACTACTTGGTAAGGTGCACCGATACCCCTTTCATTGCTGATATCGTTAACTACCCTCTACCCTCGAAATTCAAGATGCCCACCATCGAGATCTTCGATGGCACCAAGGACCCCCTAGACCACCTGGATACCTACAAATCCCTTATACAACTCCACAATGTACCTGAGGAAATAATGTGTAGAACTTTCCCTATCACCTTGAAGGGGTTTACTCACCAGTGGTTCTCTAAGCTCAGGCCCTCCTCTATCCGCTCCTTCGCCGAGCTTAGTAGGTCCTTTGTCTCCCACTTCATTGGGGGACGCCGACATCAGACACCAGTGACCCATCTGCTCATTATCAAGCAGGGTAGGGAAGAAGGCCTCAGAGACTACCTTGCTCGCTTCAATGAGGAGATCCTCCAAGTAAAGGAGCCAGATGATAAGGTGGCTCTGACTACCTTTATCGCCAACCTCCGCACCTCCAGCTTCATGTTCTCAGTCCTCAAGAAATCGCCCACCAGCATGTCTGAGCCGCTGTCTAGGGCACAGAAATACATGAAAGTCGAAGATGTCACCAAGGCCAAACAAGGTGAATCCTCCCATTGGGGCGAGAAAAGGAAGGACACTCACGAAGACAGGTGGGAGGCGGAGAACAAAAGAAAGAGAAACGAAAGAGTCTCTGTCAAGGACCATCTCGGTCCGTACCCCTGAGAGAACGACAACCTTTCACGCCACTCAACGCCTCAGTGGAGCACATCCTATTCCAAATATAAGATGACCCCACGCTCCGCTGGCCTAACAAAATGAAGTCCGCCCCAAATCGCAGAAATCCCAGTAGGTGTTGTCGCTTCCACAGCGACCATGGACACGACACTGACGATTGCTTTGATCTTAAAAGGCAGATCGAGGAGCTCATACAACGTGGGCAGTTAAGGCAGTACGTTGCTGGCAAAGGACAAGCCCCTGTCACCTGGTCAGGACTAGGATGACAAAGAACACCAGCAACCCCTCAGAGAAATCCAGACGATCTCCTGAGGGCCAGGAGGAGTAGTTGACTCAAACTCTGCTAAGAAAGCCTCGTCCCACCTATGGATGCCCAACCCTAGAATATTTTATCTATCTTTTATTATTTTAGTTAGTTATTTTGTTATTTATTATTTTATGAAATAAAATTCTGTGAAGATTATTGTGTCCAGAATTGTCTTGTTCTCCTAAAATTGACAAACCGCTTACAGAGCATGACCTAAAAATAAGGTGTAGACAAAAGGACAACAGTCGTCAGTCGTCATACTCCCGACGATCAGTCACTGCTCCTTGATCCACAACCACTATAATCAAGGCTCTCCCCGTCACCAATTACTGGTGGTGCCTCATACGGGACGAAGCCAGAAAAATTAACAGTGGCCCTCTCATTAGGCGCCCAACAGCAGGCTCCTAGAAGCAAGCACCTAGGCAGGTGCCACCCAGGCCAGTGCCTTGGCTGTCACCCAAGATGACTCGCTTACCTTCTGCATGCCACCCAAGAAGGACCTTTTCGCTCCTGGCACTAGTGTCCCTACGAGCCCAACCTTAGGTGCCCAGACAAGGGGTCTTGCACTCTCCACATTGGGCGTCCCTTGATGCCGCCTAGGTAAGGCTCTCCATCATTGGACGCCCTCCAGGATGCTACCCAGACAAGGGGTCTCGCCCTCTCCACCTTGGGCGTCCCTTGTTGCCGCCTACGCAAGGGATCTCGCCCTCTCCACCTTGAGCGCATCCCTTGATGCCGCCTAAATGATGGGTCTCGCCCTCTTTCACTAGACGTCCAGCTTCAGGTGCCCTGCGCCCCTTGACCTTCGTGCCTAGCACTCCTCGGCGTCCATGCCTAACACCAGAGGCCCAACAACGCTCGACTCGTCAGCAACATCTCTTATCTCCTCCATCTCTATGGAATGAGCCTCTGCCCTAGTAGCTCCCTCAAGTGCTATTCGAAGGTCAGCCTCAAATTTGGGTAGCCCTCTCATGTGCTAGCCTCAACTTCTCAGCGGCATCCTCTCATGCTTGCCGCTTGAGCCTTCACAACTTCACGGCATCCTCTCGTGTCTGCCGTGCAAGCTCCGCAACATCCTCTCATGCCTGTCGCTCAAGCACCAACTACTCTTCAACAGCTTATATCTCCAATTTTGCAGTCTCTCGTGAGTCGCAAAGAAGCTCGACCTTATCTAGCCTCTACTACGACAACCATCTCCCAAGTTATACATAGCTCGACCTCATCT